GAGAAACTTCCTGACAGTTAGAACAATTAACCAGTGGAACAACCTGCCTCCAGAAGCGGTGAATGCTCCAACACTGGAAGTTTTTAAGAAGAGACTGGACAGCCATTTGTCTGAAATGGTATAGGGTTTCCTGCCTGAGCAGGGGGTTGGACTAGATGACCTCCAAGGTCCCTTCCAACTGTATTATTATTATTATTATCATCATCATCATCATCATCATCATCATCATCATCATCATCATCATCATCATCATCATTATTATTATTAAATACAAATACAATTGAAACCTAGTGAAAATGGCCGAGAAAAGATAAAAAAGGGGGTTGGTGTGGGAAGATGCCATGAAATTGTATCTGGTGTATATATATGTAATTTCATAGGTGATGAGGAAAATATTAATTTGCTTGTACTTTTGCTTCTTAAATCAATCTTTATTCAGTCACGGACCACAATTAATTAAGGTAACAGGAAAAATATAGTTATTCTAAACCAGGGGTCCCCAACACCCAGGATCCGTGGCCTGTTAAGAACCGGGTCGCACAGCTGTAGGTGAGCGGTGGGAAAGGGAGCGAAACTGAAACCATTCCTCTCCCCCCCACCACCTGTCTTCCACGAAATTGTCTTTCACGAAACCGGTCCCTGGTGCCAAAAAAGTCGGGGACTACTGTTCTAAAGTATCTAAAAAGGGATAGGATTAATACTACAGTGTACTGTGCAGACTATAGAAAAGTACTTGGCTGTGGGCAGGGAAATAAAATCAGATTGATCCGATAATAACATCTTGAGATAAAGCAAATCGGAACAACCAGGCTACTTAGTGAAAACTGGAAATAACAATTCCTGGCATGCCCCTGATTTGATTTGATTTGATTTGATTTGATTTTTTAAGTATTTGTTTTTGTTGTTTCTTTTCTTTTTTCTCCTTTATCTTTTTCTATTTTTCATCTTTTTCTGACTTCAGTTTGCGTTATTACTGTCTTTCTCTTTAATAAAAAGTAGTTTTATGTAAAAAAAAAGAATGGCCAAGAAAAACTGCAAGCATTTCCCCTCCTCTTAACATATAATCTTAAAAAGATCTTGTAAAGGAGTAGTTAACTTTCCCCCAAATTCAAGCGCTGTCACATTCTGGAGAATAATCTGACATCACGATCCAAGAGGTTGCAGATGAAAAAGGTGTTTTGATTTTGCAAGAATGCCATACTCCATACCCGATTTCGCTCTTGGTGCGACTTACCTTTGTCAGCCCTTCGTATTTCCCATAATCTGTGTTCTTTAACCATTCCATAAGTTTGGCATACCGGAGCAGGTCTCGGTGAAAAGGGTGATGGTTTGGCAAGGTCAACTCAGCAGAGTGCTGGGCAAGAGTGGAGCTTTGGTCGTGGCCCTTTGTGGAAGGAAGCAACAGAAGGAAGCTGCTTGAAATAAATTATAGCGGTAAATCTGCCAACCCAGACGGTTGCCATTTAATCACAGAAAAGAGACTCTGCTTGCCATTGGTTAGTTATGCCTCCCTGCTGTTCTGTGAAAAACAAAATGGCTGTAGCGTTCAGAAACAACATAAAGGACAAAATTAACACTGGATTACAGATTAACCACAATGCATCCGTCTTATCAGGAGTTGCATCTTCTGCTGAAGAGTTCAAAATGGCCCTCATGAAACTTACAACTTGATTAATTAATATCAATTTATACAAATATACAAGGGTTCCAATTTTCTGCGAGAGGAAAGTTAACTATTACGTGTAATCTTTGCCTTGACGTATACTCTTCAATCTTGTCAAGGACAATTTTTAAGTAAAATTCGTTAAAAGCCCCTGACATGCAACTCCAGACAAGACGTTAACACAAAGCAGTGCTAGTTAACAAACACCATTCATGTACATTTAAGCCACACTATTGACCGACTATTTGTCTACAGAGAAAAAAAAAACCCAAGACCTTATCAATGTGATCCAACTTCTTAACTTTTGTTTAATAAAAATTCAAAGAAAATCACTATCACTATATCTTGGGATTGATAAAACTGGAATAAATTGCAAAATGTGATTGACCCAACACTGATATGTAGAATTTATATTTACTAGGCTAGTCAGTTAATCTACACATTTACCAATAGGTTTGCAGATTTCCTGCTTTCTAGCCCGGTGCCTTTGCCACTAGACAAAACTGGGTCTCCAAGGAATATCCCCACTAATTACTTGTAAACTGATGTCTGTCGAATGGCCACTATTACCACAACAGTCATTTTAGTGGGAGCCTCAAAATTTCCATGCTCCTTCTTGAGAATTCCCCCCACCACCACCATTTGCTATAGCAAACTTATTTTCCCGGGATGGATTCTTATGCAGTCAAAACTGATTAATCCATTCACGACAAGGAAAGCTTTGGGAAAACCCATGTTTTGCAAGGAAAAAAATAAATTAAGAAAAAACTTGCTCAATTGGACAAAAGGCTCAAATGAGTCAATGAGAACCAAGCACAAACCAACTTCTAGGGAGGGGATAAGAAGGAGGCCATATATAATTTAGTAATTGGAAAGAATTATCTAATGGGGGAAAATGTGCCTTTGGAAATGATCCATTATGATAGAGATAATAAGCTAGTGCACCCATTTGTATTTCACAAGCAACTTACTTTGATACACTTAAATCATACATTTCATATTACCCATATACTTTAAACATTGTCTATTTAAATTCAATATCTCCTTATCTAAGATAGACTTCTTTACCAAGTGCTCAAACTCTGAAAGATTTAAAGAACACGTAGCGGTCACAAAGACTTATTCTTCGACTCATAAGCCATATTTTCTATTTTAGAGAGGCAGCGCTGCAAGAAATAGTTAGGTTTAGCAAGCCTTGTTTAAAAAGAAGCCGAGTAAAATTCAAGTAGCTTGATTCAAACTCTATACTCACAGAAACTGAAAGATAGTACGACCTGTTACTGAGACCCTTCTCCAGTTCAATAAACTATTTGGAGATAAAATACAGGGATAAAAAATACAGAGAACTGAATAGATTTGCCCAAACAATCCGCAACAGAGCTTGAATGGTGAATGTAACACTTTAAGACAGTGGTTCTCAACCTTTTTAATGCCGCGACCCCCAACCGGTCGTAAGTCGAGGACTAAACCGGTCGTACGTTGAGGACTAAACCGGTCATAAGTCGAGGACTACCCAACCGGTCGTAAGTCGAGGACTTTCCCTGCCCGGGAGCGCCGCACATGCGTGGTTCCGCCCCCTGCGCCGGCCGAGGAGTAGCTGGCAACCGGCAGAGACGGAGCAGGCCGACCACCAGCTGGCCCAGCTCAAGGGAGGTAAGGCACCCGCCGGAAAAGGGGAAAAAAAATGGCGGACAGCCTTGCTTGGCGACCCCCGTGAAATGGTCGATTGACCCCAAATGGGGTCGCGACCCATAGGTTGAGAACCGCTGCTTTAAGATGAATTACTTTAGAATAAATGTACAATTGCAGAACTGTCTGGAGATCACTATATACACACTTATGTATGATAGATAATGTCCGTAAAAATGTGACTCCTG